TGGTTTGGCTCTGAATGATTCAAGGAGTAAACATATTCAACAATAAAGGGTAGTCTGGTACACTAAGCTACCGCTATGCACAAGGTCCAGGGAAAGGCAGGACCACAAGGGTCTATTGTACGCAGCCTTACCCTGCATTTCTGCGCGAGGCTAAATATGATTTGACCTTTTTGAGGATATATTAATGTCTCTTTACATTGCCATATTGATATCTTAAAAAAGTTAACCTGATTTCACCTGCAATAGAGTGACCTCATCCAGATATGGAAGTCTTTGAGGGCAGGTTATTTGGCTGATTCTGTCTACCACCATCTTTTTCCTGTTTACAAATATCAAATAGCCCAGTCTACCAAAGTATTTTAGCAAGGCACAAACTATCACTAAATAAACAGTAAAAGATTTCAAAAACTAAATGAATCTATCCAGCATCTCATAGTAATATGGCGAATGGCGAATTAAAAGAATATGAACACTTGAGAACCCTTGTTGTTTATCAAATTATGTTACTGTACAAAATTGATCAGAACATGTACTTTACCTAGGGAAGTTCTTGCGCACATCCACAACCACAGCTAATGGTAATTAGCCGCTAGAAACTTATTGATTGCATACATAGTTGTGTAAGATTTTATTCAACCATGAAATGATACAATACTATGGTAGAACAAACTACAACACAGTTTTTTGCAGATAAAGTAAGTGATAGCTATCTCAAGCCTGAATCTGGATCATCTTCATCATCAAGATCCAAGTCGTTTGATATTCGGAACTTCCTTCCATCTCGTGGTCCGGTTCTTCCCTTCTTTGGTTTACCCCTACAGTAGTACTTGCATGAGTTGCACTCATAGACATCATGGAAGAAAGGTTTATTTTGAGAAAACATAAATCTGAATTTTACATCCTCAATCCGCGTATCTTAGAAAATAATAATAACTCCAGTATATGAAAGATATCTCATCATAAAAAGCAGAACATACTGTCCATTAGTGGCAAAACCGCCACCCCTGATTCGACCTTGAGTAGGATCTGGTCTTCCATCTACGAAGAAAGACAAAATGAATTACCAAAAACAGATGCAGAAACAATGCAATGCTTAGTTATACCTATAAGGTCTATCTGAGAACGGTTCAGTAACATTCCCCAGAAACAGCTTGAATACCCCAAAAAGAAACCTGCAAGAGCTTTATATTAAAGTATATAGAACTAAAAGACTAACCTTCCCGTCCAAGCTCTTCCGCCTATACATAAATGAATACAACAGCCGTGTCAGGTCTCTACTAAGCCCAAAAGATGTGCTAAGAGCAAGGTGATTCGAAGTAAAAATTGACAACGAAGATAGAATCAGAACCAGAAATTTGCAAATACATGCATGAGATACAATTTATTTGGTAAAAAGAACAGAGTCATCTTGTTAGCACAATTTCAACTTTGAATTGGACTTTCGACCATTTTTTCCATAAGATGCATCTAAGCAAAAAACATAAAAAGAAACTTTGACGATATCAGAACAGAAAATAGGTCATTGGGATCTTAGAACATGTAATTTAACTTGTTAAAGGAAAGCATTTGGAAAGAGGTAGCGCAATTGAATCAAAAAAATTGATTAGTCCCTAGAATTTAGCATATCCAACTAAAAAGCAATTCCCTACCAACATCTGTTATATCCAACAAGTAACAATCATAATCTGTTGATCCAAGAGAATGCCACTCCGGACAATGTCTGTATCTCCACTTCACCATTCATCCAATAGTACTGAAGAACACCTAAAATCTTATGAACATTCTTTTATATATTAATACAGGCAAGAACTACTTTTTCTTGGTCCTTTCCAGCACCTATTCAGCCTCTACAGCAAAATTCTCTCGCTTAGCCATTGCATATCTTCAAAGATCTATTCATAATTCTGTAAAACATACTTGTTTAAATCCATTGTAGGAACTTGGATTGCAAGAACTACATCTATTTTCTAGTCCTCCTCTCGGCACCCTTTTCGGCCTCTAAAGCAAAATGCTATTGCTTCACCTTTGCATATTTTTAAGTATGAATACTTCAAAAATCCATTAATAACATAACTAATCCAATTAATATTACTATCATCTCCTTACAGTATGCCAATTATCCAACCAAGGACTTACCAAAAATGTGAGGTTTAAAGGACTTGTAAACAAGAAAAAGAGATGAGACCCTTCTCAAAAAAATAAAAAATAAAAAGTGATGAGATTTGGCAGCTATTATATATATATATATATATATATATATATATATATATATTTATTATTTTTTATTTTTTTTGATAAGTATTATATTTTATTATTTTGATTTTTCTTTTAAGGGGTAATGCCTTTCTTGGCATTTTGGCTAAGATTAAGTGATTTTTCTTTTAGAAGGATAGGGGAAATGGCTTGCAGGGCTGATTAAAGCCAACACATTGGGATAAGCAGTGCAAATTGCAAAACATAGTTTGAACACTATTTTTAATCAAATAGCAATTGCAACATCATAAGCATCAACAGTAAAGAACTTATCAAAAATAAAAATTTCCAGAACATGTACTCCTAATAAAGTAGAAAAACAAAACCTCTAGACAGTTCAAAATACTTACTGCTGGTGAAGTGACTGAAGACAATGAGAATAGCCTGTCTTCAAGCTGAAATTTTCTCGACCTTTTGAGGCTGGCAAATGACATTGAAGTGGAAGTCTTACAAGATAGAAAAGGTATTATCACTAGATAAGGAAACATCACTTCTGGACAAGGAAACAATGTTCTATTTCATGAAAGCAAAGCCAAATACTGATCATTCAACTAAATCAGCGCAATATTTAGCTAACATTGAAAACATGAACATTGGAATAGTGCCACTGATCTTGCTCATAGCGTTCCATTACAGTGTGGATTTGGATGAACACTTAAAACTTAATTGAAAATACACAGTGATGTTTATAAGATCTAGACTAGATAACATATAGGTCTGATAATTGAAAGTTTGTTTATTCAGGATAGTGCCTCGGTGTTTTATCATAACTGAAAATCAGCTTCCAAATGTTTAGCGCGTTGGGTGTTGCTAATCATGTTCCAATCGGTGGCTTGTTAAGCTTAACGAAATAATTACTCAGATCTCCAGAATATTTGCATTCTGTTTGCAGGAAACTTCTTCAAATTTGCACGCTCTTTAGTGGACAAACTCCAGGAAAAATTATTGTATACCAAAACCTTAAATATATGAGATGAATTTTATTTTATCTTTATATTTATCTAGAGATTTGAATTATAACACAGAGGATAGAAAAGTCTCATGGAATCAGTATATTGCTTTAGTTCATGTCTTGGAAAAGATTTTGTAACATTAGATGCAGTAAATGACCCTTTTTTCTCATGATCATTCGTTTCACCTAGCGAACAATGGCTTTTGTGAGAGTACATCTACTTTCCGATATATGGTTTACCGAATTTCATACGATTCAGAACGACATTCCTTTCTAGATTATTTCCATTCATAGAACTTCAGCGTTGATTTCCGTTATGATCATTATCTCAATACCAGGTAGCAATTAAGCAATTATTGCAGTAAGCGCATAAACAAGACACACTTGTATATACACTATGTCAATACAACTAAGTGCTGATTCATAGAACAAGGTTTTAGTTAACAATTCCATCAGCTATCATATCCTTAATAACCATCTATACGACCTACATTATTCTGAAAGCCGATTCTGACTTTCCATCAAATCAAGGATATGTAATATTCAAACGTTAACTATTGGAGATACTAAGCGGGACATTAGTAAATTTTGGAGAAAAACCGAGATGCTTTGCATAAAAAAGTAATCTTTTGCAATAACCATCACTTCTACTTTCCAACTACAAGAACTTGAGCAGATAACTACTGGAAAGATGTGTACTTTGAATTCTTATTCGATGTTGATAGAAAGCCTTCGAATCCTTTTAACGCATTTCCAAAAGTGCCCGTTTCTTGTAAATAACTCGTCTCTAGCTCATAAACCTACATCAAACCCAATAACCCACAATTTAGCTTCCAATTTGAACAACAAAACAGATAATGCAAATAAGCAACAATTTCTCATAACTCATATCATATGCTGCAAATACTCAAAATTACACACAAAAAGAAAAGTTTTATTACCTCAAGAAAGCAAACTACAGATACAAATTTTCTAAAAATAAATCCCACTAAAGCAACACAAAATACACCAATATCCAATTAGAGAGCTTCTATAAAAACCTTCCAGTGAAACTACTAAAGTAAAAATTAAAAAGCAAAAAAAAAGGAACTTCAGAAAAATTAAACAATTGAATAAAAATAGAGTCTTTTACTTGTTTTTCAACATTTCGTAGTTCATCTTGAAGCTTTTCTCTTTTGCTCAAGAGGGATGCAAGAACTGCCTTCGGATTTGAACCTCTGTGCCCTAATGATTTTTTTTTTCAAATTAAAGAAAAAAAAAACAAATTTCAGTAGAAAAAGAATCCCAAATTTTGATAAGGAAAAGTGAAATTAGGGTTTTAGCAGTTACCATGGGGCTCCATTTTCGCGGCAAGAATTTTGAAGATAAATTGTAATTTAAAAATTCAGCAGCTACAACGATGACTTTATTCAGTGAGATTCTTGAGTCTGTAGCTTTTGGACAAAAAAAAGTTGCAACTTATCTTTTAAACATTAACTACAAAAACTGAAAAAAGGAGAATATTGAAATGGGCCATAAGAGAAAATCACTGGATGTTGGGCCGATTCAATCTTTACAAACGAAAAAGGGGCAAGTGCACGTATAGTCATTCTCATAGATGTTATTTAGAGATTAGTCAGTATTTATTTTGTCCTAAAATTTTAAACTAAAAATCTTAACTTCAATAACAACAACAAACCCAGTTTGATCTCAACAAGTGGGGTCTGGGGAGGGTAGTCTGTACGCAGACCTTACTCCTACCTCATTCAGGTAAAGAGGTTGTTTTCAATAGACCCTCGGCTCAGGAAGGGCAAGAAGAAGAGGAAAGCAAGGGAGGAAGAAAGATGGAAGATAAAAGAAAAAAAGGGAGAGATAAAGAATAAGTGGCACCAAATAATAGCAACAGGGAATACAATACCTGAGGCGAACAAAACCACATAACATAATAAAAATCTAAGAATATGAAGGGACATGCATACTACTAAGACTATCGGGGAACAACTATAAACTACCAACTAACCTTCTACCTTAATCCTCGACCTCCACACTCTCCTACCAAAGGTCATGTCCTCAGTGAGCTGAAGCAGTGCCATGTCCTGCCTAATCACCTCTCCGCAATACTTCTTAAGCCTACCTCGACCTCTTCTCAACTTCAGAAAAATTCAAAAAAATTTTGTCCTGAAAAATTAAACTAAAATCCAAGACGCATTGACTAATTCCTAAATAGCAGCGCTTTAGAGTGGCTATGTAGTGTCATTTCTACAATGAAAACAGAAGGTGTGATTTGCACAATAGGACACTTCGATGTCACTATTAATTTTTTGGCTCCACTTGCTCTATTGGCAGAATTTTAATTTTAACAAGTATTGTCCTCGCTTTTCCATGGGCAACACTTTTGACTTTGGACTTGACTTTTGACCTTAAATGTTTGCCCATGAAATAAGCGGGGATCAAAAAATTAAGACCATCCATTTTTAAGGTCATTGGGTGTAACTTTTTGAAAAAAAGGCTTTCAAGTTCACAAAGCTTCTGTTTTGGGCCAAAAATGAAAAGGGCAAAGAGCCTAGGCTGTTAATGGACATGTTATTATGAGCTAATTTGCTGGAAAGAAGGCTTTCAAGTCCATAAAGCTTTTATTTTGGGCCGAAAATGAAAAGGGTAAAGAGCCTAGGCTATTAAGGGGCATGTTATTATGAGCCAATTTTTACATTCCTATATACTATATGAAACTATATTACCCTCGCTGCTCAAATTTTACTATAATTACATTTTATATACCCAATTACCATTTATGTACATTTTAAGCGAATTAATGATATTAATTAGTGTCCTAAAATAACTCTACCGTATATTCCCACTCCCCCACGTTTCTCTCTCCACATTCCACCCCCCTCACCCACGTATCTTGCACTCACTCACGATTTTCTCTTCACAAATCTCAAAAATCCTCCATTAACGCCTATTTCATCTCTTCTTCAAAAAACAGACGAAATTTTTACCCTTATTCAAAATTCCTACCTCGATTAACGTCTCTGATTAGCTTGATTAATTTCAATGATGAAGAAGATATCTTCAAAGAACAGCCCTACAAAAGACAAAGGAGCATATATTCCTTCATTTGATTTGGGTGTTTTCTCGGCAAAATTGTTCCTTTGTTTCCCTTTAATTCGAATTTGGGTTTTTGAAAAATATTATTTATTTGAATTGGGTGTTGTTGCAAAGAATTGGGATTCTCTCTACGTCTCTCTCTATCTCTCGATCCCTAATTTCAGTAATGTAAAGCAAAGGAAAAGAGAACAGCAATTCCACCATTGACAGCCATTAAAAAGCTTTGAAGCTTTGAATTCGAATTTGGGTTTTCAAAAACCATTATTTGTTTGGATTGGGTGTTGTTGCAAACAATTGGGAATATGGTTTGGAGTTTATATGTCAATTTTGAGAGTGTTTTTGGTAAAGATTAGACTTGATTTTGGCTGAATTTCAGATTGAAACTCGAAGAAGAAGAAGAAGAAGAAGAAGAAGACATGATAAACATTATATTTACGAAATTGTAGTAAAATTGTAGAAAAATTGTATTATGTTGTTTATATATTTTTTTTATTTAACTATTGTATGAAAGTTGAACAATATTGTATAAAAACTATATTTAAGTTGTATGATATTGTAATTGTATATAACTGAGTAGAAATAATGTATGAAAATTGTAGATAAGTTGTATAATATATAATTAGTTGTATGAAATTTATTTTTAGTATGTATAAATCAGATACAAATTATACAAAAGACATATTGTATAAATTTTATATAAAATTTGTATTTAAGTTGTATGTTATTGTAGTTGTATTTAACTAGGTAGAAATAATGTATGAAAATTGTAGATAAGTTGTATAATATATAATTAGTTGTATGAAATTTGTTTTTACTATGTATAAATCATATACAAAATATACAAAAGACATATTGTATAAAACTTGTATAAAAATTATATTTAAGTTGTATGATATTGTAGTTGTATTTAACTGTGTAGAAATAATGTATAAAAATTGTAGATAAGTTGTAGATTAGTTCGTTTGAATCCTAAAAATATGCTCAGCTTGTAAGCAAACAGAATAGTACGTACTCTTTAATTTTAGATTTTGTATATACAGATTTTTCCTCTAATCCCATATTCAATGTCAAATTGTTTTGCTCAAAATTTGTCCTGTGGAGGAAAGACTTCCAAATAATGGACCCATGTCAAAATTTTGTTAACAGTAATGTGATTGATTTCTGTTTAAGTTTAGGAAATTCCCAAGTCCTTTTCTTTTCTTTCTTGGAACCTTCCCTTTTCATCGTACATGAGAGAAAACAACTACGTAGCAGAAATTATTAGGCATTCAAGTATTATTATTATTATTATTATTATTATTATTATTATTATTATTATTATTATTATTATTATTAATTCCATCGTCATTACTAACAGTTTAATTAGCAGAATAATGGGGGAGCCTTGAGGGCTGGAGCTAAATAGTACTGCTGATGATCTTGAGGGCTGGAGCTGGTGGTAGCTGCTTAACTATGTTATCAGTAAAATAGTTTAAAATAATGGAAGATCTGGAGAGAAAGGGAGAGAGGAGGAAAAAAGGAAAAGGGTGTAACTAAATCCCTTGATTGAAGGCACAAATAATGGATGTGGGAGCCTTTTAAGGTGGATTGTATATATTTTGTAAACAAAACTTATTTATGCTGCGTAATTAGCTAAACATGGACATTAAAGGTAATAAAGTTTCAAATTATGTATAGGAATGAAAAAAATCCCTTTATTGAATTTGTCTGGTTATTTGTGTAATAATCCCAAGGAAGAAATAACGTTGGCTGGTCATTTTTTAGTTCATGTTTTTGAAAAGTAGCCACTATTTTACTTGTGAAATTGAAACTCCAGGATAGTAACTATTTTTCAATTAAGGTCTAAAAAGTGACTACTTATTTATGAATTATACCCGTATTTTATCAGTGATTATCTTTTTCCTTCTCCATTCTATTGTTCTTTTTACTTCTATGGACCATGTATTGCTCCTTGAAATTGCAAAATACTATTACAGCTGTTCGACCAAAAAGTGTTAAGCTTTTTGTTAAACTAATTAATGAGGAAATAGGGGGTGAATCCTAGTTAAACATAATAAATTTTAGATCTGAGATAATGGAATATCCGTAGGATGAGATCGTGCTCAGGAATATTAAATATCAAGTATATGACCAATGATTGTCAATGAATGCAATATTAGAAGCATGCAATAAATGTAGAAAATGACAATAATAATAAGAAGGAATTTATCACCCAAATATTAGGTGACTTGGATGATCCCTCTATGACAACAATGTGGGGGGATAAGCAATAAAGATGGATAAAGAATCTTTAGATCTTATAAATGAACCACGTAAAACAAGCAATAAAATTAGTGAATAACCTTTTGTATATTCTCCTCAGTCAACCCTTTACAATGTGCTCTTATCAAAAAGTGAAGATCCTTTTTTTTCTTTATGTCCTATTTATAGGATATTCTTAAAAAATCCTAAAAAAGTAAGTAATATTCCTTCTTTCTAATTTTACTTATCCTATAGTTATTCTTATACCCTGTGCTTGATCTCGGCCCTAATCTTTCTTAAGGCGACTCCTCGCCCTCAGGAATATTAAATATCAAGTATATGACCAATGATTGTCAATGAATGCAATATTAGAAGCATGCAATAAATGTAGAAAATGGCAATAATCGTAATAAGAAGGAATTTATTACCCAAATGTTAGGTGACTTGGATGATTCCCCTCTATGACAACAACGTGGGGGAATAAGCAATGAAGATGGATAAGGAATCTTTGGATCTTGTAGAACCACGTAAAACAAGCAATGAAATCACTGAATAAGCTTTTGTATATTCTCCTCAGTCAACCCTTTACAATATGCTCTTATCAAAAAGTGAAGATCCTCTTTTGTTCTTTATCCCTTCCTATTTATAGGGGATATTCTTGAAAACCCCTAAAAAAGTACAGTTGGAGGAATATTCAGTGGAATATTCCTTCTTTCTTATTTAACTTATCCTACCATTATTCTCACACCCTCTACTAGACCTCGGCCCTAATCTTTCTTAAGGCGGCTCCTCGCCCTCACGCTCTGGTAGGCTTATTCTTCGATCACGTCCATTTGTAGCTAATAAGTCTTAGCCAAATTTTGACACATACAGTTAGTCCCTCCGCTTGTTGAGGTCGTGATTTTGGACGTCCTCGATGAGCAGATCTTGTCTGCAACCGTTTAGAGGAAATCTGGTCGTGACGATCGAATCAGATTGGCCAAGGTTGAATAGGCGGCGGGGCTGCGGTTGGTGTGGTTATCGTAAAATGACGCCATGCCACGCGTGTCATCATTACGCGTCTTCCCAATGCGATGTCTGTGCCTTTGTGGCTTCAGTTTTGGTGTCGTTGACGGCTCTTTGCCTCGATTCCGGTGTTACCCA